AAATTAAAAAAAAGGATTACTATGTACCGGTAGTTATTTCCTTGTGACGATTAATACGTAATTTTGTTGGCAACGCTACCCACGATGCTACGTTTTTGATTGACAACGCCTCAAGTATAAGAGAAACTGTATGTGTTTTAGGAGTTTTAGAGCGAATTTAATTTTCTGACAAAACACACGTACTGTATTACGTATGAAAAACAAAATTCTATCAGTAAATATGATTATGAATTTATAGAAAATCAAATCAAATAAAATAAAATAAACTATCGAATAACTAGTATCTTCGTATCCGATTTTGCTATAGAATTAAAGGTATGTAAAGAAGTTGTAATTCTACCAAATGATTAAATTCTTTTTTAATAAACTTAACTTTTTTAAGTATAAAGTGTTATATTAAAAATGGTATAGCGTAGAGTTTGGAACCGGTTTTATTTTTTATATGTTAAAGCCGAGTTTAATCGATTTAGCATATGAAAAAATAAAACTGGATCCAACCTCTAGTATAGCGTTTCGAGATTTGAGTTTTAGCCCATTTTCGCACAAACTTTATACGTACGTACATGATATTGATATCAATACGTGTAAATCCTGACTTGTTAATCACTCAGCCCAGCCCTATTTTCTTTCCAGTTGAAAAAAAAAAGAAGAAAAAAAGATTTATAACCCAATTAAGACTCTTAAGAATGTATTTTTGCCAAGGCAAACTTCGTTTATCAAACAAGCCACTAAACGAGACCAGGTAGACATCGCAATAGTTTTTTTTTGAGATGTGTAAAATGTTGATTCGTATGAATTGAATTACTTGTTTCAGACGTATCTGTGGAGGATTACAACTCTTTTATTGAAAGTAAAGATATAAATGGATACAAATTTGAATACAATAACGGTCTATACGTATACAGTCGATATGTACTCAAATGAGCATGAAGCATTTGAACAATTGCTACTACCGTAAAAGTGCATATATAAGATCCTCCATATATCAGACCAACCCTCATTTTTTGCTAATTATTTTCTTTTCTCTTTTTTGTTTGCTAATTTTTTTGGTGGAATGTAAGAGACCTGAGTCACTTTTACGGTACTTATGCTATTAATATCTGATATGTCCTAATACAATTCGTGATCAGCCGCGTAAAGGAATACATAGTTTACCTGATCATTTACTTGATTGTTCACCTGATATTTGGTTATTTATTAACATATTTTATGTCCTTTTTATAGTTTATGAAATCACCAACTGGTCTCGCTACCTTTCCACATAAGATTTATGCCGGTTCCGTATCCTGGTCCACCTCCTAATGATACAAGGGTACTTTTAATCTGTCATATGTATTTTTTTATACTAGTATGGCAGAAAGAAAGTTTTTGTTTAATTTAGGAGAAACCCTCACGCATAAATAACTTTTGAAATAGTCATGGCGCAAACTTCTTCCAACTTGAAACTTAAATGTAGGCTTTGGAAGCGGCTATCGTATGTACGATATGTGTTTGGAATTAAACTTTACGATATAATGAATACACGCGACAGTCAACAAGGAGAAAGAGATTGGGCACTAAAGGTAGATTATATATTTTTTTCAGTACTATATAAATTTCATATTTATATATTTCGTTTTTAAATATTAGGCAATACTTTGGCGATGTGTTCTAAAACAGAATTTGATACACAAACATATTAATAACAAAAATTCCAGGAAAAGACATTCAAATAGGATTTGGAGAAGTGATAGGAAATCCTTGTAAACATGACGATAATAAGACAGAGAAAAAAAATACTCAAATGTAAAATCAAGATTATGCTGTATTATGTTTATATAATAGTGGAATTTCAGCTCTGTAAATACTATTCCCCTACTGACCTCAACGCATTAAATTCTGCGTGTGGTTAAGTGATATGATGTGCTGTTTTTTTTTGACTTATTCTGCGAAATTCTGTGATAGTAAAAATAGTTTTTGCGTAATTATGCGGTTTTTAGTGTTAATTCTGTGGTTTAACGCGCTTAAAAATATATAATATGTCTATTTTCATAATAAAATAATTGTAATATCACATACAAGTTGTTTGCGAGAATCTTCAAAATTTTAAAATTCTGTGCTATTTTAAATTCTGATAGGAATTAATTTTGGCGGTTAGCTGTTTTTAAGAAAAATTCTGCTGTGTTCTGTGATCACAATCCCACTAGTTGTCATGGTGGGAACAATCCCAACTATGTAATTACAATCCTTGTTAGCAACGTGCAATCGATTTATATGATATTTAGCAAATAATTTCACTTAATTAGGCAAAATAAAAATCAAAAGTTTCATGTTTTGCTAGCAGATTGATTTTTGTTTTCTATGATCAGTGAAATACAGAAATTACAGCTTACTTCATGTAGAATAGATATGTAATGTAATATACGTGAATTCTGTTGCAAATCTAAGTATATAATATCTTTTGCCATACATTATAAAGAAATTTTATGATTTTAATATTGTAATTATTTAATGAAGCAAATTTTATCAGATAGGAAAGTTAATACCAATTTCTCAAGCTTTTGAAGCATCTCAAATGTTCATATAGATTTTTTAATGTAAACTGACTGAAAATTTCATTTATATTGAATATTTGTCTTTTAGTAAATATAAGAATCGCGTAAAAATGAGTTAATGAATAATTTACAATCGCTATACTATTTAATAGGATACAAGTTAATAAAAACATGCAGAATAGTGTTATATAGTCGGGGCTTAAATTATTGACTAAGTAATGAAGCACGATCTAGATACATTCTTTAGCAAAGAAATGATAATGATAAATTCTGGTTACAAGATTTGAAATCTTCTTGAAATATGTTCTAAATCCACAAAACTCCAGAATTCCGAATCTATTTGCACCATAACTTATGTTTTATATTCGGAGTCCTACAATATAAATATCTGATATGTAATGATAAATAAATTTTAGACAATATCAATTATTGAGTTGACAAGCCCAATCACTAAGTTATTACATACTGTATACAGTTTAGATAAGTCATTATTAGTTATCAGTTTTCATGTCATTCATTAGTGGATGTTTGGTAAAATGAAAGAATCTTTTAAGTAAATTTATGCTGTATATTTAAAAAAGCTACAATAGTTAACATTCGTTAACATTCTTATAGGAAACTATATTAATTTTGATTCCATCCATAGTGTTAATTAAAGAACTTAAGCGTCGCCTGTGAAACTATTTTTTTGATAGGCGGATAATTTTTGTTTCTGAGAAGTAGATTTCTAATCTTCACAATTGGATTCTAAATATCATGAGAACTTGGTCTGTTTAATGAATCAGTATTCCACCATTTTTCTATTAAATCAATATAAATTTTGTGGTAAGTTGTTAAAGATTTCAGAATGAAGACTGTTAAGAATGTCCAAAATAGATATTCATCATAAATACGTACGTACGTACGATCAGAATAAGTTAGTTATTAATGGAATTAATAAGTTATTTGATTGTAAATAATTGTAACAATACAAACCTCATTTAAGAAATCATTACTTATACGTATTTTCAATTCGAAATTTTTATACATCAATAAACACAAATTATTAATTACATATGGTAAACATATAATGCATTTACTTTGTTTTCATTTTGCAAGATATGCATTTGGAATTTTAATCAGTTGCTATTAGATTCTGCAATTTGATTGCTGATTCATGCCTTCAAATAATGATAGGGACTGCATTCGTAATTTAGGATCAGGATGGGATTTGGGATCTAATGATTCGGAATGAGATTGGGATTTAGGGATTTTGGATTTGAGATTGGGATTTGTCCAGTTTTTCACAGGATATTTAGATTCAGCCAGGCAATTCCGTTTGTCCGGATTTGTCCATGATTAAATCCCAAATTCCATGTGTTTGTCTGTTAAATATATCGCCTTCTTATTCCACTTTTTAAGTAAATAGTCTTTATCGTTATTACCCATAATTTTACTAAGAACAATGTTAAAGATTTTAAAATTTGAATATTTTTGATAAAAATACATGTAGACGTTTTATCACTAAATTTAACGAGCATAACCACTAATTTATCAAATTTTTAATTGTAAAATTTTAGCATAAACTATATTTTTCTCTGCGTCTAAAACCAACCTAACCCTAATATTAAATAAATTAATTTGATTTGTATGTTAACATGAAATTAGTATACATGCACCACGCACAAACTGTAAAATTTTTTAAATTTTATTATAACTTCTAATTAATTTGCATAGTACATTTTATGATTGTTATATAAAAATTTATTATATACAGTATATTACACTCTATCCCACCAACCCTATTTATCCATAGTATATAGTTAACAATTAGATCATGTAACATATATAGTTTAGAATGTGTCATGTAACATATACAGTATAACAGCAGTAATTTTACTATATATTTGTTATATGTTCATTATAAGTCAAAAGAAATGCATGATAGCCAGTTTTAATTAAAAATTTCTTTGAAGTAATAAAAGGAATATGCAGTAAAAAGCCCCGTTATTTGATGAAATTCCAAAATAGTCTATGCAATTATATAGGCTATCTAATTGATCATCTATAAAAAACTTAATCTATTATCTAATAATCCATGGCTATATCTCATGAGTTATTTCATTCGGTTCTGCATTATACCGCCACAATAACTTAACAGCCATTTGATCATTATACCAAATCTCATCATCACTCTTTCTTTCGACCATCACAAGAGGTGGTTCATGATCATTATAATCGATGTATGATATTCCATTTCCAAAGTTTGGCATCTTTCGTAATAAGAATATAGTAGATTCTTCGATTCGACTTCGCATTTCATCATCCCGTTTCACAATTTTTGCATCTTCTTGCTTAACTAATTGTTTCGCTTCGCCCGCAAGGATCTTCATGGTTTGCCATGATCTCGTAGATGCTAGTGAAACATCTTTTGATACACTACTATTAGTAGCGAGATGTTGCATCAAGTTTGAAAAATAATCTACAGCTGATGCAAATAATATAAGGGGGGATATATGGGTAATCTGTACAAAAGTATTTTCACCTATAAAAGAAAATAATAAAATAAAATATATTAACTGATAAATATTTCAAGTAAATAATTTAAATCCACAAAAACTCAGCTTACAATCTTCTCTCCACCGTACTTTCACTCCGTTGGCGGTAATACATTTTTGACTGATCATGTTCCACCAAACACCGGCACCATTTTCATCCGGTATTTGG